GTAAGGGAAAGTTCACCCAAAAATGGAAATTGTGTCATCATTGTATCACCCTCAAGTTGCAAACCTATGAGTTTCTTTCTTCTGTTGAGTACAAAAGAAGATATGTTGCAGAATGTTGGTAATCAAACAGTTAAATGCGTAATTTTCTTTCAGGTATACCTTTTTTATTATACAGATGTAATATTTTCTTCATTCTATTTATTTTTATTTATTTATTTTCATTTAACTTTTTGATACACAATACCCTGTTGGGGCAACTTAATGGCTGCACTTTGTTCTGCACTATGTTCCACCGCTTTAAGACAAATGGATTTGTTGTGTTATCATATTCAAGAGATTATAAGATAGATGCAAATTTTTTGGTTTGCATCAAATGTTCTTCGACTTTTATGCATGATAAATTTGTTTATGAATAAAGATTGATCTGTTGAAAGCAGTTATTTTGAGTTCGATGCCAAAAGCTCTCCTCCTATTCAAATTTGACATTGAAGTGGTGCATACAACATATTTGCCCACCGGCAACTATAATTGCCGTACATTCAAATACGATTTTCAAGAAAAAAAAAAAAAACCTGGGGAAAATAAATACAGAACATGTTCACATAAGACACAATTAACATGACTATATGCATGTAACCATTCAGAAAAGTTTGGGCACAAATGGGTTAAGTTTGAAAAATTTTTTGAGTGTTTTATATTCAGAAACAATAGTAACACTTTATTTCACAGTGCCCTGGTTACATATACTTACAGTACTACCAGTGTTGGGGAAAGTTACTTTTAAAAGTAATGCATTACGATATTGCGTTACTCTCTAAAAAAGTAACTAATTGTGTTATGCAGTTACTTTTTATGTAGTTATTTTTGCATTTCTTTTTCTCATCTGGCATTGAGGTTGCTTGTTTGTTTTTAATATAAAAAAGTTCTGTTTTTGGCAAATGTAAAAGCCCTTTTACACCAAAAGTAAATGTAAGTGAAACAAAAATTCACAAAGCTCAAACAAACCTTTCAGCTTCGCTGCCATTCTGGATTGCATGAAGAATATGACGCAAGAGAAGAAAGGTCAGCAGCAAAGACATTGGTTAATAAAATGGGATTAAATACATAAAGGATTTTTGCGGTAACATTTAATTATTGCAAGTTTGCATCATATTCTGAGTTTGCTTTTCTCTGTTTGTGTTAATTTTGAGGAACACTGAATGTGTTTTAGTACAAGTGAGATGAGTAAATGCATGTCCACGTTTAGTCTACTCACATATTTTCTTGAAAATTAAAAAGTAGTGCATTACTTTACTAGTTACTTAAAGTAATCTGATTATGTAACTCACGTCACCTTGTAATGCGTTACCCCCAACAACACTTACTATAGCAATAAATTCTACATGCAATTAACTCTAAACCAAACCCTAAATCTAACCCTAAAGTATGTACAGGTATATGTTAAACTGTAAAAAAAAATCCGTAAAATTTACGGTAAAAAAAACGGCAGCTGTGGTTGCCGGAATTTTACCATAAAAAATACAGTAGCACCACTTTAGGTTTTAACTTAAATTTACAATTAAATACCATAATTTCATTAACTGAAATAATATTAATATACTAACCTATAAGACAGCTTAAAATAAAGTGTTTTAGTGAACAGCAGACAAGATGGCAAACCATCATGTAGAAAGTTCATTTTGATGTGATCAGGCTTTTATGGACAACAAAGGATGACTTTTACCTTAAGATAAACAACACTACCTCTTATGGAGAGGGGGTAACATTACCATACAGTAACCCTCTCTCAGGAACTAAATTCATCGAGAAATAAGTTTTGCCATGTGGCCAAAGGAAGAACAGGGCCCGTATGTATAAAACTTCTCAGAAATGCTCTTGAGTGATGTCCGGCCTAGGAAATTTGACATATTTTTATCCTTACTTAAAAAAAAATATGTGCAAGATTTTGTAAGCATATTGCATAGTTGCTTAGTCAGTTGTTTTATTTGTGATAATAATGCAATGAAACAACTCTCTTAAATAATTTAGGAGCTGAGACCTTTATGAATCACTCTTATTCTTAAGTCTAGGAATAAGAGTAAAATTACGTCATTCTTAGAATTTTGACACACTTAAGACTAAACTTTTACTTTGAGCGGCTTTATATATACGGCCCCAGATCTTCACATGCATTCACACAAAATAGACACAAAATCGATTAAACCTTCTTCATATCCATTTACAGAACTGTATATACTTAATGAGTGCTGTTTGTAATACAACAATGTATGCAACCTTACCTATTAAAGTATATACAGTATATGCATGGGTCAAAGTTCAGCATTACCCATTGATGTTTGATCTTCATATTTTCAGCACAATGTGTAGGTTCATCTGGAATTGGTTTGGAATGTGCATAATGCATAGGAAAAACCTTAAAGACATTGTTCTAAACGTGGACTTTAAGCTATGCAAATAGACCTCAGGCCAGAGAGGGGCCATACCATGGCCACCTCCGACAACTTCAGGCCAATCAAAACGCTGGATCTGAAAGGCGCCAACTTGCAAATCCCTCCTTCTCAGGAAAGATTAAAAGGTTCTCTCAGAGACAAAGAAAGAGTCATCTCTCTCTATGTTGCTAAGCTGCTATGCTAAAGTATTCCAAGGAGAATCAAAGATGTTCTGAAAGAAGCACATTTGGGGAGTTTGGAAACCGCATCAGCAACAATGACCACAAGCTTAGTGCCCCCCATCTTCTGCCACAACTTCAGAACCTTCTCTTCAGTGATCCTGTCTTTACGTGTTCCAGACTGCCAGGATCTTCTCCACCAACGTCAGAATCGTCTCGTCAGTGATCTTCTCTCTGCGTGTTCCAGTTTGCCTGGATCTTCTGCACAGACTTCAGAACACTCACCTTCAAGGCTCCTCCGTTTGTGTGTTTCCAGACCAAGGACCTTCTCGGTGCTCAGGAGTTCATCGTTCAACTAGCGAAACTACTTTGTTTGGCCTTCCAAAAGAGGACGATATCTGCTTCGTCATGCCTGGAGCTGATCCGTGCTGGTCGCTGAGGAAATACATCAACTTCGCGCTGTGGATCACCGGATCGGCTTTTACCGTGGACGAAGTGGAGTCCAGCCCGGGGTCATCACATGTGGTTGCCTCAAGCCCGCCGGACGCTCCTTCGTCGAGAGAAATATTAATAATTTAGACGGTCTATACTGTAACTTAAAAATAAATCAAATAATCACCGGCGAACAGCACATTATAGTGCCATCCCAAAGAGGCACAAAATCACTTTAACAGACTTTTACATTAACTGTTCCCTCCTGGTGGAATGACCTGCCCAACTCAATCCGAGCAGCTGAGTCCTTAGCCAACTTCAAGAAACGACTAAAACATATCTCTTCCATCTACATTTGACCCTCTAACTCTAGCACTCTCTATTCTATTTCTATTCTTACTACTAACACTAGCATTCTCTATTCTATCTTCTTGTTTTCTTTTTATTTATTATAAAAAATACCTTGTACATGTACTGCATTAGGCTAAACGAGACTTGTCACAGAACTTTTGCTGGTTTTGATTGCTTCTATTGTCCTCATTTGTAAGTGGCATTGGATAAAAGCGTCTGCTAAATGACTAAATGTAAATATAATCAAGCAAAGCCGTTTTGTGCTAATATTTTGTCATTTATTTGTTTGTCAATGGACGAACACCTCCTACTATTAAATCACAATATAGCAGCTTGTTGCATTGGATGGTCAATGGGACAGATCATCTGTTCTGGCTCGTGGAAAGGATGGATCGGTTCACATAGTCTTGTCAGTCAAACCCAGAACATTCAGTCAGAGCCATAAAGCACCAGCTGTCCAACAGACAAACAACGTGCCAAAAAACGATTCCACAGACAAATACTAAATATAACGCAACAAAAACAGAAATAAATACATTCCGAAAACAACATCAGAGAAATGGTTATGGACAAAGGAATTAGCATTACTGACACTGTCGTGAAAATACACTTTCAGA